GCCAGCCCTGTTCTAAGCCTGGCAGCTACATAAGCACTTACCAGTACCTACTGAATGGCTACTGGACACTCCTTAATGAGGAGACAGCTGGAACAAAAAGCTCAAAGGAACTTTTGATTGGGGATTTGAGTACAGAGCTTATGTGAAGCTGCTAAGTTTGCTAGCAGTCAAGGTGTCCTCAGCAAGTAGCCAGGACAGCTCTCCTCCCCTGCCAGCAGCAGGCGCTTTCTAAGTCTGGAATTCTTTCAGCAGCCCCCAGTAGCTACTGATCCTAGAAGTTCACAGAATACACAGCATATCTCAAAACAGAGTCCAGAAACTGCTGCATGAATTGACACATCTTCTGGCTGTCTCAGTTGCACTTAGGCATTTGACATATTATTTACTTTGAAAAGTTGTTGTATTTTTTTCCAATGGCCCTAAAAATGTATGTATTTGATAACCATATGCATTCTCATGCTCCCTTAAAGTTATGCCTGAGGTACATCACTGTATTAGAAACCAACCTGCATACCCCCTTCTTAGCCTGTGCTCATCAATTGATCTTTTTATGTCTTTCTAGGTATAGGAATTCCAAAAAATATATATATATAAAATATTTCTTTAAAATGCATCACTCAATCAGTAAATATACCATGAGGATTAATTCTATCATTCAGGAAGGAAAAGCTGATGAGTGATATGTGGGAGGTCTGTTCCAGGTATCTACTGTTTGTTGTTTTGAACTTCATGGTTCACTAGAGTTTTGAATAAAAGTGTTTCTACGTTTTCCAAAAACTGTTGAATAATGGCCAAAATGCACCTCAGGGGCAGCAAGATGTTTTGCTAAATGTTGACTGTTTAGTATACTGCTACCGAGAAGGCACAGCAATATTTTGTTTCTTGCCTAAGGCAGTCAAAAACCTAAAGTTGGTTTCATACACTGCCATGTGACAAGCATGACACTACACATTTCCAACTGCTAGCAGTGATTAAAATGATAGCACTTTTGCCACTTTGGAGGACACACTTGCTTGGCCTTTCATAAATTTCCTTTAGCTAAATCATTAGTAAATCTCTTCACTGACTCAATAAATCTTCTGAAGATGGTTCAAGTAAGAGGCTCACACATAATTTGGTACTAAGATGAAAAATTACAAGTTCAGCACAAAGACTCATCAGATGTACAACAGCCAAATGGTTCCTCTGCAGCAACAGAGGAAGAGCTGGCCAAAGAACTCCAAAGAAATGCCAGCGAGGAAGCCAGATGCAGCTTGCAAAAAAGCATTCCAGAGTTTGGCATCTGGGACCACTAAATGCCAAGCTGATCCCCATCTGTGGGAAAAGCTGTTGACTGCTGCTGGGTGGGGAAAAAAATAAAAAAGACAGGAATCAGCAATAGTTTAAAGGAGTGCCAGTAAAAACAGGAGAGACTGAACTCAGCATTCCAATTACAAGCATTCCGGAATTTATTCCATCATTCCTTGATAATTTAAGATTCATAAACGTATCTTAGAAATATAATGCACAAATATGCATGCTTCTGTATCTTTGAGATATTTACACACCCATAATTTAGAAATCACCTAACTGCCCTTCTCAGCATAGAAAAAACTGCCTTTAGTTACTGCATACCATGTTCAGCAGTCCAGAAATAATGCACGTATGAAGAAAAAGGAGTTGTGAAACGAAATGCAGTAAAATGTGATAGTTAGAGGGACAGAGTACATTGGAAATAAATACATTACAAAACATAACTCAGTATTTTAGCTGGATTTTAAAATGCAAGTTCTCTTGACACATGGAAAAAAATGAGCCTCATGGAAAGACACTTGTATAGCTTTCCAGACTTTCCTGTCATATGGATTAAAGTCAAGTCTGAAACAACCGAACCTCATCAGAAATAGCAGTTCACCTAGGAAACACTGCTGTTATTTTGTGAGAAGAGTTGAAGAGATTTTCACTTAAAAGTTTCTCTGTAAGCTGGTAATAGCAAAGACGACCCAAAGGCTTTAATTAGGGTTTCATGTTATTAGGGTAGAATCTCAGAAATATCACAAAAGGAGGAGCACAAAAGGACACAGTACAAGCGGGGACTGTAGCTGACAACAGATGCATCTGTATATTTATGTTCAGAGACATAATTTGAGTGTTTATGTTGTAGTGAGAATTAGCAAGGAACACAGCGCACTGGAAGCAAATGCATGAAATGCTTCTAAACCCATTTAGGATTTAGGAAAAGGCAGCAGGGAAAAAGAGAACAAGAATAAGTTGAAAAAGAATAAGCTGGAACGAAGCAGGAATACACAAAGAAAAGCTTTCAGTCTTGGGGGACTTGTTGATCCACTAGATTTGACAGCAAGGTTCGAAAAACGAACAGTGCCAGGCACATGATGAACTTATTAGGGGAATTTCTAACTAACAATAATGGTTTGAATTATTCTTCTCATTATCAGATTTGAAACTTGGAATAAAAGTTTTATTTTGTGAATTATTTTGCATCACACTTATTCTTTTTTTCTCTATTTATTCTTATTTATTATATAATTTATTATTATTATCACTGTATTTATTCTTTTTTTCATTTTATGTGCCGCTGCAAAAAACACTTTAGGTTTTCAGGAACTGTGCCTTTCAGATGGATTTGAAAATACTTTGATAATACTTGTTTACGTCATCAAAGGCATCAAGGAAAACTGTATCATCCATCCATCCCATTAATTTCCACAGAGGACAGGCCAAGCATTTCCTAACCAGTAAGAGGTGATGAGCACTAACAGTAGGGTGGCCCCCTGCACCCAAATTTAGACAATTCTGCGGAGCCATCACCAGTAGCTAACACTTTCACCAGGAAGGCAAACACTGCAAGAACACATGCACAGGTCAAGCAATTGCATTATCTATCAGCGTTACGTTCTCAGAGCAATTCCTAGTGCTCATCCGTAACACTTCCTAGGCACAATTCAATTTAACAGGAGCCAAGGATCTTTCCTATTAGGCATTTAAGACAGTTAGCCTGTCTTGGAAGGTAAGTAATTTAACCTTTGTAGAGACAGCTAAGCGGCCTCAGGACCAGATACTGCACACTGACACTACCCAGATACCCCGAAACTGAACTTTCTGTTTCGCTGCTGTTGTTTCTAAGAAACAGTTCTAAAAAGCTAATGGGGGAACAACTTTCCAATACTAAATAGAAGAATGTCTTCTAATATCTTCTAGCGTAAACTAGGGCAACTCTAATGATTGAAATGAAATTGTGCTACATGCATGTGTCCCTGTGCCACATGCTCTAGGTGTGCCTGCTTGAGCGGGAAGGTTGGACTGGATCATCTCTAGAGGTCCCGTCCAACCTTGAATATTCTGTGATTCTGTGAAACTGCTATGTAACAAAATCAGTCCAGGCTCATATTCTTTGTGGCTGCTAAATCTCACCTTCCCAGATATAACAACTCTAAACATATCTAAAAAACCTGTTTCTGCTTGGCTTATCATGACCCTTGCATACTGTAATTCAACAACATGCCTAATTTTTCTGTTCTGCTATGTCAAATAGGACAGTTCTGAGGAAAAATGTGTTTGGTGCTTACAGTTCAAAGCAATTCTCCTTCAAACATCTGCTGTACCTGTTCAGCGTTTGCTCAATTCAGAAAATAAACTTTTTTTTTTCTTTTGTGCAACAGGGAGTCCTTCACTTTGTTCTCCTGTAATTACCTATGAGGAAAACTTGACAGAGCCATGTTACTTTCTGCAATATGTCTAATGCTTTCAGAAGCTATCTGGAAAGAATAGGTGAGATGTCATTTGACAGCTTTACACCTCACTGCAGAATATTCAAACACCCAGATTTTTTCTTAAGGATGGTGCAACTGCACATTTGGCTATACAATCCACTGTAACACATAAGAATATAAGCTGCTATGAGGTATCAGCTAATGAGACATATAGACTATGTAGTTACAAAATGGTTACTAGTCTACAAAGAACACAAAAATATGAGCTATGAAATCACAAGCTACACAAAATAATAAGTCTTAAAAAATATATCTTTCATATGCCAGTACATGTAAGAAAGGGGAAAAAAACCAACTAAAATCATATACCAAAACAGTACCTCTAATACTCTGTAAAAATGCAGCTCTAGGATAAGGGAAAGTATTTAAGTTAAATTAAACATGGGACAGTTAAATTTACCTTTGGTAGCTGGGGAATTACTTGTCTATTTTCAGCTGTGATAGGTTTTCTTTCTGTTTAATGACTATATTATCAGAAATGTACTCAGTGGGCAACAACTAGACTGAGTACAGTCAGTTGCTTACACTGCGTGGTTTAAGCTCCTATATCAGTACCCATTATAGTCTACATTCACACAAAAATGACTATCCTAATATTGACATCATAATATAGGTGAACACTGGCTGTAATTACAAACAAAAACTGATTTCAAGATTAAGTAGTCCGTATCCTTATAATGCTAAACAAAATCACTTTTTAATCTTCTATGCATGAATGGAAAAAAAGATTGGTGTTTGAGTTAGAAGTAATATTGTTAGTGTCAAATCCTCAGGCTCTCTCACAGTATGGCTGTAAACAGTGTCAAATCCTCCGGCTTTCTCCCAGTGTAGTCGTAAATTTTAGGTAAATTACTATTTTGTCTTCATTTTGAACCACAAGGTGGCAGCAGTGATACAATTTCTTAATCTAAGTCTGCACGACTTGATCTATTACTTTTACTCCTAAAGCATCCCCTTGCTTGCAGGACATATATATGACAGAAAGAAAACCTGTAATTTCTTTGATAAAATGCAGGCCTAAATTAGATCACTTGCTAAGTGCTTTGAATGGATGTGCTTGTTTAATTTTCCATCTACAATTCCTTATCGTTGCTTTCTTCAAATAGATGTGCATTCACAGCAAAGACTGCTCCTCTTTGTGCAGCAACACAGCACTCGCCAATAATAATCGGATGCACAAGTCTGTCATCCTTGGAACATAATCACACAGTGAGAAGATGAAACTCTTACCGATAGCTGTTGAAAAGATCTGTACAGGTGCCATTATTTTTACAAGGCTCTGAAATACATTCATTTGATTCATATTCACAAAACGTTCCTTCCCATCCAGGCAGGCAAGCACATTGGTATCTCTGTGGTACATTAAGAAAAAGACATATTTTATTACTTTTATGTTAATGTATTTTAAATATCTATCATAAAATAACAAGAAATCACTCACATCAATGCATGTTTGGAATCTAAAAATCATTTTTCTTGACTTGAAACTTTTTTCAAAACCCGGACTCTTTGTAGACAATCTGAGCCACTAATGTGATGATAAAAGAGAACGAGGTGGGCACGCTACTCTCCCTAAGATCTAACTTTCTGTATGATCACTTTTCTACTCAAAAGCCTTCTCTCTTCCCTCATCTAAGATATTCTCTCTACAAACTTATTTCCTTTAGATCTTAAACTGATATGCCTAAAACACAGGTATTTACAGTCACATAGGTTATATTCCTCAACATGCAATCCTAACAGCACACAATATAAAATAATTTATTATAGAAGTTATCGAGAGTATATAGCTATTAAACTTAAAAACATTTAATGTTAAATTGTGCACCAGTACCTTAATTGTGCATGACTCATCATGAAAACTACTGTCTCCTATAAGGATAATATTGGCTGGTAATCCTGAATGTTAAAAATAAATAGTCTTTTAGCTCTGAGGTGACAGCGCTAATACACTAATAGAGGAGTTCTGAATACAAAGTTTGTCACAGATTAAATTGAATAAAATCTTTCAGCAGTGCGTGCCTCCACCTCCAAATGACAAGTATGATCGGATATCTTTCATTACACAGCAAAGCTGTCGTATCATACAGGTGTTTGACTTAGTCTCACGGAAGTAAAAAGCATAAAGCATCTTTTTGCTGCCTATGGTCTAAGGGAGAAAAGGAAAAAAAAAAAGTCAGCATTGGTTGAACTGAGTATTAGAAATGGCCAAGAGTGCAAATGTTTCTACTCAGCCTGCTTGCTCTGCAACATGCATCTTACACAGCTACCTTCTAACAAAAACTGAGGAACTTTAATGGCAAGTGTGACTAATGTGAATTATTACTTGCTAAGCCTGCAATTAGCATTAGGTTAGATTTTAGTATCTATTAAAATCCACGTAAATTGGAGGTCTTTGACAAATAAACAGTAAAAAAGTGACTTTTTTTTGCCTTTTTTTTTGACTGCATAAACTGTCACAGCATGATGATTTGATGTACAATATACCAGTCATGTTGAAATCCATAGCACCTACAGGTATCTGTAGCTTAGAAATCACATTGCATTATTATTGAGTCTGTATTTAGGAAACAAAAACCATCATGCTCAGAGGGGCATGATTTAGATGAACAGCACCTTTAGATTAAAGGGAAGTTACATAACCTTCTAAAACTTTAAAAATTGAAATATCAAAACTGTGTACTCTAGTTGTTAAAATAAGAGGGGAGAGGGGAAAAAATAAAGTTTGATAATTTGCTTCTATTGCTTTGTGCTCCCAAACTCAGACGCAAAAAAATATAAAATATTCACCATAAAAAGGACAACTGGCAACCTGAATAGAAGTATTAGAAATTACTGGCTATCAGTAAATCAAAAGTTAATATGGGAGACAGACATTTTATTAAAATACTCTGTATTTTGTAAGTAAAAAAGATATGGAGAAGTGACTGTAGAAAGAAAAAAAAATCTGGATATTGTGCCAAAGGAAGAAAAAAGGAAGTATTTTGTCACTACATTATCAGCCCATATAGCAGTGTTTTCTACAACATCACAGTCACATCTAAAAAAGAGCTGTTAGATATCCTAGTGATTTTGAAAGTTTATTTCAAGGTTTCCTCCATTCTCTGCATATTTCTTGGTGCCATGAAAACGACATAGTTTCTTGATCTCCATTATGAACACAAAATGCAAAACTAAGGACTACAAATACACACTAACAAGCAATTATTAAAGACTTATTAAACATAACTCTGTTGTCAGTTTAGAACTTCATGTTAGGCAGAAACACAACGAAATGATGTATTTTATATTCCTCCAAAATCTTCCAAAAACAGCTTACAAAATCAGAATAAGAATTCTGTTTAGAAAGTAACAATATTTCCCTGGTTTCATTAAAAAGATCAGTCAAACAGCTACTTAAATTCTCAGCTACTGAAACTCTAAGCTTCACACTTCTATTTCTGATTGTATCAGGACTGTCATCTCAAATGCAAAAAACTACTAAAATATATGTATATTATGCATAGGCTTAACACATAAACTAAGAAGTACTTTTATTGTTTCTGTACTTGGGTTTACAATAAGTGAAGATCCCAATAAGTGAAGATCCCATATTACAATATCTATTCTATATCCACATCTATTCTATCTTGATATACATATATATTTAATTCTCTATATATTTATACAGATCATATTCTGTATTATATACAGAATCACGTGTATCTAACATGTTGATTTTATGTTGCATATAATAAGATATATATGATCATCAGATTCATATATTCAGATCAGATTTATATAATAGCATTTACTTTAAGAGAATAAATTCATTTAACCCACAGTCTGTCTAGGAAAACACATATAAAAAAAATTCCATCAGTATCTTTCTGTACCCATTCTCCATACGATCCAAAGAGATTACAGCCAAAAATGTCATAATACAAACCAACAAAACAAAGCAACAAATAGTTACTGTACATAGCAATACAAATACTGTGGGAAGACACTTGCACAGGTTCACTAATCACCATCTTCCAAACACTATTTGGTAGCATGTACCAGATAAACACAGAAGTATAAAGAAAGGAGATGCAAAGAGTGTTTCTTCCTCTGACACACACCCTTGACCTCTGGAAACTGGCACACAGAAGCTCTATTAGTTTCTATCAGAGTAAGTGTAATTCATCTCTACACAGCAGATCAGCATAAGACCAACAAACCCTAAATCTTACTTTGAAAGAACTCAGGACAATAAGTAGAACACATGGGCCATTTCATCATTTTATTAAAATTCATCCATATATATCTATATATCAAATAAGTTACTGTTTTAAAACTTGGCGCATTGTAAAGCACTGTATTTGCAGTATTAGTGTAGTCTGTGGAGTTGTTCTAGTGAATGGAATATTTAAAGTAATTTCTCTGCACTAGCATTACTCTTTGCATGATTATTTGCATTTAATCCAGGATTATATCTGTGAAGCTAAAAGAAGGGAGACATCAAGAGGTTTCACAGTATTTCCCTAACTCTAAAAACCTGTTTTTAAAAGTGAAGTAATAGAAACACACAGGCTGCCCAGAGAGGTTGTGCAGTCTCCTTTTCTGGAGGTCTCTCAAACCCGTCTGAATGCCACCCTGTACCTCATGTTCAAGGTATCCCTGCTGGAACAGGGAGATTGGACTACATGATCTCTATGAGTCCATTCCAACCTTAACCATTCTGTGATTCTGTGAAAGGCAATAGTGGATGACAATCAGAGAAAGGTCATAATCATTAAAGACACGTCAATTGAACAAAAAGGGCTATCTTTCGCTGTGAACTACTTCATACTCTTAATACAATAAACATTCAGTTGTGTTCTGTCCTGTGCAGAAGGGTTTCCTGATGTATAGAAGATTTTAGTACGATCCACAGAAGAAACTAACGGTATCTAAAATCTGAATTGTTGACTTGTTACGGATCAGTTAATCAGACATGCTGTAGATAACAATGACAGAAAGATGAACATTACCAGAAATACGTAATTGCTCTTGGAGATCTTCAATATTAGAAGGAAAAAAAAAAAAAAAAGACAATACAGGTATGTCTCATCTCTCACTAAAGAAATCTCCTCTTGCAGGAAGGAAAATTATTTTAGTCTCTTGATCAATTCTCCCAAAGCACTTCTCTCATCTTTAACTATCTGAACCTAAATGCCTAATTCTTTTGCTGCTTTGATTCTTCTACAATACCTCATGATTCCATTTTTTCTAGTATGATACTCAAGAGGACCCTACTAAAAGAAAAGCTCTCTTTTGCAAAGAAACTTACCAAACTGAGTACTCTACAGCAGTGGTCTCAGACCTCTGCATTGCAGTTTATACAGGCTTTTGGCCCTCAGTCAAAAAATCTTTATTTCAACTGACAGTCAGGGAATGAAGATAAAAAGCCTCACTTTTTCCCTTTCTCTGCTGCTGAAAAAGAGAGAGAAGCCTAGAATCAGACAGGAAGAGGAGTAAAAAAGGAACAAAAATGTCTTTATGTGACCATGCTCCTTGGCTTCCCCCTTCAGAAGAAGTTATCAATTCTGAAAACATGGGTTATCAATTTTGGAAAGAGGGTTGGAATGTCTACAGTGGGATAGTATGGGAGAAGCTATGCAATAGAAGCATGGAAAAAAAAAATAAAGTAGTTTTAGCAGAAAGCTACAAAACCAATCAGAATGTCTCTATGCACGTTCACACTGCAGACACTTTTGTATCCGCATTCTTAAATGAGATGTTTCTAGTGTAGCAGTATCTCTATACCCTAAGCCTCACCACTCCCACGTACCAATTACAAATATGACATTATATGTACAACATTAAGAAGGTCCTAACTGTTACACTCACAATACCAAGTCAATAACATGATTTGGCAGGCAGTTATGTTGTTTGGAATATCCTTAAAAAGAGCTGGTTAACGGCCTGCTCAGTCCCTCACTTGGGGCCAGCCAGCAGCACCCAGTCTGCTGAGGTCCCTGTCCTGCCAGTCTAAGAGTCCTCCCAACACTTGGATCCTTCAGAAGCCAATAGCCCTCACTGTGCCCTCACAGGCAATACTGACCCCAGCTGTCTACATTTGCAATGCACTTTTTCAAACGCAACCAAAAACTTAGATGAACATTAGTATCAGAATCTTAACTGTAAAACTTTTAAAATCAAAGTTTTGTGATTTCTATTGTATCTCCCTACCATCTGGGGATGCCTACAAGTTTTACATCATCACACTTTTTTTTTCCATTAATTCCTAATAGTAATGGTATAGAACACATCTCAAACCTCAAAATGACATGAAGCTACATAGTACAAACTACACAGTGAATT